ATGATCGGGGTTTAATTTCAAAATTATCTACTACCAATTTTAATTTTAATGTTCAACAATTTTATAAACATTATATTCCACATTTATCAATTTCTCAACATGAAATTTGTGCCCACAAACTAATCAGCATTTCCTCTCCCCTATTATTAATGACTTTTAATAAAAAAAATCCAGGTTTAATTCATCTGAGGTGTTAATACAACTTAAAGTGATAATATTCTACAAAGAAACTTGCTATGGGTTTAATTGTGGCCCGCAAATAAAGATATGTTGGCATCCTAATCCCTGGTGCCTCAGAATTTGGCCTTATTTGGAGCTAGGGTCAAGTTAAAATGAGGTCATTAGATTGAGCCCTAATCCTAATGACTGACGTCCTTATTAAAAGGAGAAAAACTGGATACAGAGACAGACACACATACAGGAGGAACCCATGTGAAGACTGGAGTGATGCTGCCACAAGCCAAGGATTGCCAAGAGCTACCAGAAGCTAAAAGCAGCAGGAAAGGATTCTTCCCTAGAGCCTTTGGAGAGAATGGCCCTGCTGACTGATGCCTTGGTCCCAGACTCCTAGCCTCCAGAATTGTGAGCCGATAAATTTCTGTGGTTCAAGCCACCCAGTTGGTGGTATTTTGTTATGGCAGCCCTAACAAACTAATAAGAAACCAACTCATCATAAGAGATACCACCCCATTGCTACATGCGTGTATACATGCATAAGTATGTGGTACACAAATTTTGCAGCAATATGTATAATACATATGGGAGTTCTTAGCAGTGCCACATGAGAGGTGCAGCCTGGGTAGCCTGTAGTTCACGAGAGGAGATAATCACTAAAGCACGGGGCAGTCAGGGAAGGTCTCGGGGTAAGCAGGCCTTGAAGAACAGGGAAAACATGTATAAACTAAAAGATGGCTAGGAAGAGATTCCAGGTGTGGGATAGGGCCTTAGCAAGGTTCTGAGGAGGAAATAGATGCCATTGGTTTGGAAGGTAACAAGTGGACCTGTCCAGTGAGGGTAAGCCAACCAGGAAAAAAAAAAAAATGGAGATGATATTGAGTTGGTTTTAGATGGGCTGAGTGATCACTCAAGAGGAACTGGCCAGCAGGCTTTGAGTCCTGCAACCCAACCAGTAGTGCCACGCTGGAACCAAATCAAAATACCAATATTTTGTCATTTGCTTTGTTACAACAAAATATAGTTGTTTTATTTAAAAGGAGAGATATCATCATCTTCTTCTTCTTCTTCTTCTTATTCTACCCTTTGTCTTCATTTGCCATTTCATCTGAGAGAAGGCCAAGGCCCAGGACTGAATCTCTCAGGTAGGTTGTTTGGGGAAGAAGGTACCTAGTACAAATAAATTATCCTAGGGAAGGAAGTGTACGGCTCTGAGAGAGAAGGGGTTTGGCTCTGGTGGACATAAGGCAAAAGGGGTGGCAGGGAAGGGGG